ACAACAGCAACAACAACAACAACAGCAACTGCAACAACAACAACAGCAACTGCAACAACAACAACAGCTACAACAATACCTACAACGATCTGCCAAGGCGAGACGCAGCATCTGTGTGACCTCCAGTGCGCCGCCAGCGGCAATGCTCAATCTGGGCGCCATAGATCATCGACGACACTCGACGACATCGTATCTGGGTGTAATAAGTTTAAAGACCTATTTGACAAACAAAAATAAACCCCCTATGCAACAGATCAGGGAATGAAACTGCACAAATGGAATTGCCGCAACAAGCAACAGCTTTTGTCGGCATGCCGAAGATTAAATGCCCTTGCTCATATAGTTGTATATGTTTCCGAACATTCCCATGATTCCATAGAAAAACTCTATTTCCGATCGATAGCAGCTAACATATATCGTATAGTAGAAGGATATTAAGATAGATAGATAGAGAGAGTTGGGAGAATGGTTAAACTAGTAATTGATGAGTTTGATTATGATTAAGCGAAGATTTGTTTCGCTTGGAGCTCAATCTCGGATTTATCTTTCCTATTATGATATAAGTAGTAGTCCGATATTGATAATTACAAGTTATATATGGATATACCATACCTAGTACTCTGAGGTGTTCCGATACAGAAACTGTATATCCTATCGATAGCAGCTATATGATTTTAAGACAGCTAAATATATATGTTGGGAGAATGGTAAAACTAGTAATTGATGATTATGATATCTGGAAAAGCGAAGATTTGTTTCGCTAGGAGCTCCATCTCGGATCGATCTTTCCCAATATGACATAGTAGTCCGATGCTGATAAGATTTTGTAATGAAGAAAGTAAAGCTAGTTAAGATATAAAATCAAAACAGTCTTATTTTAAAAGAAATCTAATCTCTACCGATCGATCGATCCTAGGCCAGGTGGTTCCACTTAAAGATGCAACATGATAGACGGACATGACTTTATTGACCCGGCTATTGATACAGAGATCAAGAATAATATAATAACTCCATGCAAGGGTATCGAAAGTTGTAACGGTTTCATTCCCTGCCCTCCGCTAAAGTGCTTTAGAAATCGAGCCGTTTCTTTTTAGCCCAACTAGCCCACCTAGCCACCACGTAGCCACTCCCCTCTCTTAGATAGATCCACTTTAAATGCTCTCCAACTCCACGATTGGCAAGTTCTCAATTGTGTGTTGTTTATTTACCAACTTACTCGTAAGTTAGCCTGTCCTTAACCTCAAAAATGTTACCTCAAAATGCACCGAAAAAAATAAAGAAAAAAAATATATATATTCAATAAAAAGAATCAGCCTTTAACCCTTAAGTGCACGCCCGTTAAATGTTCTGCATGTTGTGCTTGTTGTCTACCGTTAACACCCAGTGTACATCGCCTGGACGTGCCTCGATACTAAGCTCCCTCCTCCCCACAGAACCTCTCGGGCAGCACCGATGACAAGAAGATCAAGATTATGCCCGCCAGCGAGATTGGGGGCAGCAAGCGCAGCAATGAGCTTAAGATTGACATGAAGGACGACGTGTACTCCTCCTCGCAGGAGGACCTCAAGAAGCTGCAGAATGATACCATACTCAAGCGCATACCCGCTGGCGCTGAGGCCACCACAGTACTGGTAAGTCGGCACATGGGAGGATCCATATGGAGCATTTAATTGATCTTCGCTTCGCCAGGTGGGTGCCGTCGAGTTCCTGGAACAGCCGACAATTGCCTTTGTCCGTCTCTCGGAGGGCGTGCTAATGCCAACGCTGACGGAGGTGCCGGTGCCGGTGCGCTTCATGTTCGTGCTGCTGGGACCGCGCAACTTTGACCTGGACTACCATGAGGTGGGTCGCTCCATCTCCACACTGATGGCCAATGAGCACTTCCATGCCATTGCCTATAAGGCGGACGATCGCCGGGATTTGCTGTCGGCCATCAATGAGTTTCTGGATGATTCGATTGTGCTGCCGCCGGGCAACTGGGATCGTCACGATCTGCTGCCCTTCGACGAGCTGAAGGCCAAGAAAGACTGGATACGCACGCGCAAGATCAAGGCGCTGCAGGTAAAGCGCGACAGCGAAATGATCAAAGTCGGTCGGGATGAAGAGAAGGTGCTGCTCGAGAAGCAGGCGCTGGGCGCCATCACTGGGCCCGGCGGCCCAGGCGGCGATGGCGGCGACGATGATGACGACGGTGGCAAAAAGAAGAAGCCCAGTCCCATGGACAAAACGCATCGGATGTGGGGCGGCCTGCGCAACGACCTCAAGCGCCGCATGCCCATGTACAAGAGCGACATACTCGATGGACTCAACACGGAAACGCTGGCGGCGACCGTCTTCATGTACTTTGCCTGCCTATCGACGGCCATCACATTCGGCGGCCTGGCCTCGGCCAAGACGGACAGCTGGATTGGCATCTCGGAGACGCTGGTTGCCTGCTCCTTTGTTGGCATTGTCTTCCATTGCTTGTCCTGCCAGCCACTGGTCATCATTGGCACCACCGGACCGCTGCTGCTCTTCGATGAGGCACTGATGGTCTTCTGCACGGAGAACAATTTTGATTTCCTGTCGCTGCGCGTCTACGTCGGCATCTGGCTGATCATCATCGCGCTGTGCGTGTCCGCCTTTGAGGGCAGCGTCTATGTGCGTCTGTTGACACGCTTCACCCAGGAGATCTTCTCGGCTCTGATCACGCTCATCTACATTGTGGAGACCATGATGAAGCTTGTGTCCATTTACAAGCTCAATCCCCTGCTGGCCGACTACAATCTGCCGCCGCCGACGCTGGTCGAGCACGAGACCGCCGCGAATGCCACAAATTTCAATATGAGCGTCAGCCTGTTGAATGCCAGCACCACGCTGACTCCACCGACGCCCAAGTTGCCCATCAATCAGCCAAATACGGCGCTCTTCTGCACCATACTCACGCTGGCGACCTTTGTGGTCGCCTACTATCTGAAACTGTTTCGCAATTCGCATTTCCTGGGCCGCAATGCGCGGCGAGCTCTTGGCGATTTTGGTGTGCCCATTTCCATAGCCATATTCGTGCTGGTCGATTATCTGGTGCCGTCGGTGTATACCGAGAAGCTGGTGGTGCCCGAGGGTCTGTCGCCCAGCGATCCGACGAAACGCGGCTGGTTCATTGGCTTCAACACATTCGAGACGTGGGTGCCGTTTGCCTGTGTGGTGCCCGCCCTGCTGGTCTATATACTGATCTTCATGGAGTCACAGATATCCGAGCTGATTGTGGACAAGCCGGAGCGCGGCCTGAAGAAGGGCTCCGGCCTGCACTGGGACATTGTGCTGCTCTGCCTGCTGAACACCTTCTGCGGCCTGTTTGGCATGCCCTGGCATTGTGCGGCCACAGTGCGCTCCGTAACCCATGTCTCCTCCGTCACGGTGATGTCACGGTGCGTTAACTTGCCTCTCCTCCTTCTCCGCCCCTTAACTATTTTGCTTGGATCCTTGCAGCACGCATGCACCTGGTGAATCGCCGCGTATTATCGATGTCAAGGAACAGCGCTTGTCCGGCTTCTTTGTGTGCGTCATGATTGGGCTGTCGGTGCTGATGTCGCCCCTGCTGCGTCTCATACCCATGGCCGTGCTCTTTGGCGTCTTTCTCTACATGGGCGTGGCCTCCATGAGCGGCGTGCAGCTCTTTGAACGGTTAGCTAAACCATGACACATGTCCATTATCCACACACAACTGATCTGTTCGCGTTCCTTCTATTTAGCATACGACTGTACTTCATGCCGGTCAAGCATTATCCGCCCACGAACTATGTGAAGCGTGTGCGGCCCTGGAAGCTGCATCTGTTTACCACCATCCAGGTGCTCTGCCTGGCCGTGTTATGGGCGGTCAAGTCATCAAAATTCTCGCTGGCCTTCCCCTTCTTCCTTATACTCATGGTGCCCATACGTCTGCAAATGGCATCGCTCTACAAGCCGGAGGAATTGCAAGCGGTAAAGCCTCCATTCGTATTGCCCTCCAGAATTGGGGATTAACCAGAATTTCGCTTTCTCATTTCGCACAGTTGGATGGCAGCGAGGTGAAAAACGACGAGGATGAGCCCGATTTCTACGAGCAGACCAACCTGCCTGCCTAGTGGCTGAGCAGCAGCAACTGGAGTTGGGTAATATCCAGGCTCAGTTTTAGGCCAAATTTAATTAGTCCTTTTATAAGTATTCAAAGTATTAAAGCCAAGCCGCGTACCCATAATACAAAACCAACAAAATCAAGTAAATACAAACGCATTACGAGAAATGTTTGTGACGAAATTCTGGTGATCGTGTAAACGAACTACCTGCATTAGTATTTAGAGAGAAGGATTGTATAGCCTAAAGTAAAACACACACACCTGAATACCTATTAGATTGTAAGGGTTGCAGCTGGCCGCAGACATCTATTGATTAGGGCCCGGTCGGAGAGGAGGAGTGCCAAGAACTCAAGAGCAGGAGAAAACGTTGTACCTAAAATGAAACATGACATGGTAGGGCAAATATGGCACATATTTTGCTGTAAAGAGCTAAGAACAAAAGAATAGAGTATTCGCAATAACCTACCGATAAACGATAACCGATAACCGATGACCGATTATGTTTCTGATTCTGTTCAAACTAGGAAAAGACCCTCATTAATAACGCCTTATGACAAGATGTTTGCTTAGCGAAAAATATTTATGAAAACAAAAGAAAACTTTGCATCACACACACACAAACAAAAACATATTTATTTGGTTTTTCTCGTTGATTATTTTCTCGTCTCGCGCGTATTATTAGCAATAAATATTTTGCATATACATATATTACATACATATATATATATATATATACACATATATATTTACAATAATAAACTCGGTTTAGTCTCATCGAAAGAGCAATGAACATGAAGAAGCATTCTTAGAAACAAAATTAAAAACTATTTAGCTTCAACTGGCGTAGTGATAATTAGTGTCAAACACACACACACACAAACAAACAAATCCCACATTTAACAAACAAACAAAAAAAAAAAGAGAAATTAAAATTTAAAGACAAAGCAAAAGAGAAGAGAAAATGTTCGCGTACTTCGCTTAGCGCACACTTTTAAAGTGAATGCTCCGTTGTGACGTAGCCGCTGTAAGTTTTGCCTTTTTTTTGAAACAACCTATTGTATACTTATTGTCTTATTAGTCGTAGTCATCCAATATATCCATTCGGAGCGAGCGCCGCTGCGAGCCTAAACTATTTTTATGTAACTTGCATGTACTTGTACTCGTACGATACTTACTCATAAGTAGTTGTTGTCTAGTTTGTTTTATTCAAATTCAAATAAAATACAAAATTATATCAAATACAATTCGTTTTATTTGCATAAAGAATGGACAACTGTGCCTCAAGGTTAAATAAAAGACTAAATACACAGTATGAACATACAATTACGTCACAAGCTTATATATCATGTGTACTTGGTTGGATTGGACGGGTCAGCGGACTGGCAGAGAGCATTTATCCAGAGAGTGAGCAGTATGGATATTCATCGTCATACATACATATAAACATGGAGTGCAGGTTGCAGCTAAACCGATGAGCGAGCATGCGTTAAGCCATTGGTTGTAACATCTTTGATCCCGTTATCCAAGGCACAAACGAAGAGAGCGAGCATAGTGGATGGGGTGTGAGCGATTTCTTAGTTGTCACTGTATTAGTGCAAATGCCGGCTTAGCGTAGGCGGCAGCTTGGTGAGAGCATTTAGTCTGTGCGCATTAGACTATTTGATCGGTCGCGTCCGCTGTGCAGGTGTAAAATCACTTTCGTACAAAGTTAAATTATTAATATTGTGTTAAACTTGCTTAGTTTGTGTAAAGTGCGATATATATTTATATTCCAATCGTTCTCCGCCCTTGAAGATCAGTTTAATAATCGTCTACTTACATAATCGTAAAATTAGTTGTGCTGAGTTTTTTCAAAAATGGAAAAAAATCGAAGCCTACGGAGAGTGAGTGAGAATAAGAAAGAGAGCATGTGAGTATAATAAAGCTGTTCTTGAGCCATTGAGTATTTATTTTCTTGTTATACCCTTGCTGAAGGTATTTGAATTTTGCTCGTGAAAGAATGAAGAGTGAACATCAACGCCGAGTTGTTGTCTGACAAATGCTCTTTTTAGACTTTAAGCTCTCTTGACTTTGTCAATCAAATATTCACAAAGGATACGCTCTTCGCTACGTACTAAAATTTAGATTGGTTGTGAATTTTAATTAAATTTTTTGTTCATTCTTTTTTGAGCTATAGCATATCAAGCTCCATTAACTTTGTCCAATTCTAACCCATAGACATAGTTTTATTTTTAGATTGGTTCTGTATATACAGTTTATTTTACATTTTTTGGCAAATATTTAAACATCGCAAATCCCAACCTTATCAAAAGGAATAGCCCCTCCCAAATGTATATTTACCGTTATCAGCAACATGCTTGCCTTGCAGCAGGCGCATTACTGACGCTTGTGCTTTACCTTTAGTCAAAGCTCGGCATAACTCAACATTTTCAACTCAAGCTCACGGCAAGTTGAAAGCTCGCCAAAAAAAGCTGTCCCAAAACATTTGAGTGTTTCGAATTTCAACTCCACTCAAAGGACTATGCCAACATGTTGTGTGCGACTGTGTGTGTGTGTGTGTGTGGGGACTAGGACAGCAGTGATAATGCGAAGTCAAAATGCCAACATATTGTGACAGTGACAGTTCAGGACGAGACGCCATCAACGTCGCGTCGTCAAGTGCTCCGTGGACGCAACTCGTGAGTGCTTCGACAACTACGTAACGTGATAAGCAATAAGCCGCAAGCAGCAGGACGCGAACTTGCCGCGTTTTTACGACTTTTCACTTTAGACGCAGAAAAATGGCTAATAATTTGGTAACCGTGTCCGTTAACGCGAACGTAACCGTGGCATTAACAGCCGTCTGCGAGGGCAAGTGAAATGTGCGCAACCTACGACCCGGCACAACGTGACAGCCATTCAGAATCTGAATTTGATGTGCGATGTGCGAGTGTGTGCGTGTGTGTGCGTGTGTGTGTTTGTGTGTGTGTTCTCATAACTAAATACGAGTTTATTGTTATATTGTGCTGCTGGCTGTCATTTTGCAATTTGGTTTCATTTCGTTTACAGGCCAATTCATTTGCTTTAACATATGCAAATTCCAAGAGCTTGTCGCACACACAATACACCCACACACTCCCACACACACACACTCACCCACACACACACACACACACACACACAGAGTGTGCTGTGCCGCGTGTTTATGCAAAAGAAAATTGCAAGAGCAGCGCCCTGCGGCGGCTGCCGACATGCACGACAATTCGCCGCCTCGTCTGACACTTGGCATATTACACATACGCCATGTTGCACATACACAAATTATGTAATAACACATTAGGCGCCTTAGCGACAACAACAACAACAACAACAACAACAGCAAAGGCTACAGCTACAACAATGACACTGATAATGATGTTGACCTTTGACACAGACTTGTGCTCCCGTCAAACACTTATGCACATAACATATTCATAGTTCTTGTCCATATATATTTCTTGAGCTGCTTATTGTTAGAGTATTATTTGTTTGTTTGTTCATTTGTGTATTTGAATTTAACAGAGCTTTTTCTTTTTTATGTTGGGCTAAATTGGGTGCATTGAATTCTATGACTGCAACGCTTGGCGTATATCCGATTCGGCTGCCACGAGCGGGGCACGCACCTCAATGCCACGCACTGGCGCCCTGTCCAGATGATGTATGATTTTGTATACCTCGCTGCGATTGAGGTCGATTTTGCGCTCCGGTTTTTGGTACTTCATAAAGTTGACCCTGCGGAGGGAACAAGCCAAAGCTGTCGTAAGAAAGAGCTCAAACAAGCGGGCGAGGGGGTGGAGGATATTTGGGTAGCAGGACTTGCAAAGGGGAGAGACATGCATGTGCATTTAAATAAGTGCTGCTGGTCACGTTTGGAGCACTCTTGAGCTCTCCGTCCGGTTGCCAGGGCATGCAATGAACCGTGTGACAAAACTAACCTGTGCGCTGCCTTGGCCACGCTGAGACTCTGCAGCTCCCTGTGGGCGAGGAATTGAACCGAAAACGAAGCAAAAACGTAACCAGAAACAAACTGAAAACAACATGACAGTCGGTCGCAACCGACTGCACAAAATACCCTGTTCACAAGTACCCCCAGTGGATCGCTCTGTGGCCTTCCTGTTAAATTTGGTCAGTCTAGTTCTTTAATTATGAAGTAAAGACATTTTTCCGATTTGCGAATATATACATATTTAAGGTTTCAAGTCTTTAAAGGCAAAGGAGTATATTAATACCAAGCAGTCGACAAGTGTCTGCTTGCCTATCGAGTTGGTGACTCTAAAACTGTTAGCCCAGTTACCTTTAAACTGTGTTTTTTAAGTAAACATCGATCCTTGAAATTTTTAAAGTGTGCGATTTATACATTTTCGCAGTCTGCCCGCCCCTTGATGGGCATGGTCAAGCAATTGTAAGACTTTTACTCAATGGGTGCGAGTCTTACAAATATTTTCGATGATTCGGATAGAATTTAGTCTGTCCTTAGTCCTTAGTTCGTCTGTGTCTAGGTTTGCCTTTGTACATAAAATTTCTTTCAAATTTCCAACATGATTTATTCCAATTTAAATGAACTATCTTTACATACTTTCACTAATTTAAATTGGTGCATCTTTAGAAAACTGAAAGAAAAGCCTTTCAGGCATAAAAATGTAATTGCATAAACAATGTTCGGCTTAGATTTAGCTTCAATCCGTTTGATTAAAAGCCGAACAGCCTTTCAAGTCTTTAGCTAACGGACACAAAGAGCCCAGTCTAAACTTCTTTGGACTTTGTGAACAGGGTATAAAAAACGTAAGCGTAAACGTAATCGTTACCGAAATTGAAGTGAATGTATTGCCCCCAGTGGTTAAGTACAAGACAAGGGCGGGCCGAAATGCAGGCAAACGATGTTAGCCTTATTAGCAGAAGGAGTTGCAGTCGCCGTCGCAGTCGCCGTCGCAGTCAAAGTCAACTTACCTGAAACGCTGGCGTGTTATGTGCTCGCCATTGAATAAACGATTCCAAAATGCAATCTATGAAAGAGAGAAGCGAGACGAGGCATGCATATAAGGAAAAATCTGAAAAAAAATAGTGCATAAAAAAGAAGAAGAATGCCACAGAAACGTGCAACCAGAACTGGCAAAGTCAAATCAACTGCAGGCCAAGACAAAAATGGTAACAAGAGACGAAGACAGAGACAGACAGAAAGTCAGCAAGACAGAGAGACGGTCGTTGAAAATGATAATGTTAATGAAAGTGCATCCTTTTGTGCTGGCTGCAGATTGCGAATTGCGGATGCTGTCACAACTCCATCATAGCAATAATACCTGGCATCGTAGCCCAGCAACGGGCTCTCGTAGGGGCAGCTGCTAATGCGCAAAATTATGAAGGCGAAGCGTTTGTGCGTCGATGTAAGCGTGCCCCATGCAAAAATGAGAGATGAGCATGAGTATATGGTGGCACGATAAGGGGAAAGGGAAAGTGGGGAAGGGCGACTGTGACTGTGACCATGGCAATATGGCATTATGATGGCAATATGACCAAAGCAATGCCAGGACACAATATGGGTTTTAGCAAATGTCAATTGCAATGTCGTCGGTGATGATGATCAAAAAGAGTGAGAGAGAGGGGGGGAGGCTGGGCAGCAAGAAGAAGTAGAAGGAGTATGGGAATATGGGATAGGAAAATTGAATTGAAAATTTTCGTGCAATACCCACCCCAGCGTGCTGCCCGTTATAAGCTCCGCCTGGGCGCTCAGTGTTTCGGCTATGAATTCATCATTGTAGGCATCCTTGGGTCTGTACCAGCGCCTGCCGCCGGGCAGCACCAAAGGACGCTCCGATGATGGCGTCAGGGGACCAAAGGCGCGCTTCGAACGCCTGGGATTGTTTTTGCGCACCAAATGCTCCTCGAGCTCCTCAATGACATTGTGTTTCTGGCATGTCACATCGCATCCCAGAAAAACCAACCCAGCACAGCACAGCAAACGCAACGAAACGCAACGCAATGCAGCACACAAGATCCCACAGAGACAGAGAAGATGTTCAGAGATTTTTGTTTATAGTGAAACAGAGAAAGAGAGAGAGAGAGAGAGGGAAAGAGAGAGTGTGTGTGAGAAGTGAAGTGAAAATTTGTGCAGTGGTTTTCGGTTCGGTTTATTCTGCGTTGGTTTTTCTGGCTGTCACGCTGCCTACTAATTGTCTTTTGGTTTCTGCCCTTTCCCTTTCCCTTTGCTGTGCCCCGCCCCGCCCCGGCCCGACTCAAGCTCGATTCTCCATTTCTTCGGACTCATTTATTTAACTGGCAGTTAGTCGCTGTGTGCACTGAATTTGTGTGTACAACAATCGTTTGGTGGCAATTTATCAAAATTGAAACTCGATTTAAGCTAAGCTAAGCTAACTACACTTGGAAGCGCACATTATGCTGCAAGTAGACAAAAGACAAAAACCAAATGGCATTTTAGTTAATTTGATTTCTCGAGTTGACCAGTGCAAATGGCCAGGAAAATACAGCAAAAAATTGGGTCTGAGGCATGTCAGAAATGGAGGCGGAGGCGGAGGCAGAGGCAGAAACATGGACTGCGACTGCGGCTGAGATGAGGCACAGCTGGCCAGTAAAAAAATAAAAATTTAACACTAACTCAAGGCTAAAGTCGAGCTATAACGACTCTCACATAACCTGTATATAAAGCTTAAGTGGGTGCCCAATTGCATGGAAACTTTTTGGTATGAAAATTTATATGAATGTGTTTAAGGCTGCCAACAGGGCTGCAAAGCCGAGAGCAACATAAAC